ACAAAATGATTCAATATATTTGGCTGATGGTACCGAATTAAAAGCAAGTGGCATTGGTGAATGTCGTCTGGTTTGTCAAAACAAAGAAATATGTGTACAAGGTGTTTTGTACGTTCCAGAACTTGATGGAAGTTTACTGTCAGTAAGGAAATTGACAAATGAAGGTTACAAGGTGCATTTTGATTCGGATAGCTGTTCAATATTAATGGATGGTCAAGTTTGTGCTACAGGAAGTTTGAGGAATAATTTGTATATCCTTAATAGTAGTCAAATGGCGAATAAATTGTATTGTGACAAAGCGGAATGCATTCATATGTGGCATCGTCGATTAGGTCACAGAAATATTCAAGCGATCAAGACTACTGCTAGTGAAGGTCTAGCTGCTGGATTGAATATAAAGAAATGTTCATGTTCGTCTGCTTGTGAGGTATGTTTACAATCAAAATTAACAAGAAAGTCTTTTCCAAAAGTGTCAGAAACAAAATCCGAAACTATTTTGGAAATAATTCACGCGGATGTTTGCGGACCAATGCAGAATACAACTCCGAGTGGTAATCGCTACTTTTTAACAATGATAGATGACTACAGCCGATACAGTCATGTTTATTTTTTAAAAACCAAGGATATGGTTTTTGATAAAATAAAAGAATTTGTTGAAATGACGGAAAATCAATTTGGTAAACGAATGAAGATATTAAGATCTGATCGTGGAGGTGAATTTTGTAGCAAGAAAATGGAAGGATATCTAAAATCAAAGGGGATAATTCATCAACTAACTGCTCCCTACTCTCCGGAACAAAATGGTGTAGCGGAAAGAAAGAATAGAAGTTTGATGGAGATGGCTCGCTGCATGTTGAATGATTCTGAAATTCATGTAAAATTTTGGGCGGAAGCTGTGAACACAGCAAATTATGTTCAGAACAGGATTCAAACTTCCGTTGCAAATGTTACTCCTTTTTCACTATGGTTCAACAAAACACCAAGCTTAAGTCATATTCGAATTTTTGGATCGGTTGCATACGCACATATCAACAAACAAAAGAGAAGAAAGTTGGATAATGTTGCGGTCAAATGCAATTTGGTTGGCTACTGTCATGAATCGAAAGCATATCGTTTACTCAACACTAAAACAAACGCTATTGTTATTAGTAGAGATGTAGAATTTATTGAACCAGTCTGTCGTCACAACGGTAGTGATTTAATTGAAGTTGAAAGAACGCCAGAGAATATGGTTAGTGTACCCTTGGAAGTTTCAAATTCTGATATGGAAAACGAAGGCATATCGAGTGGAGAAGACGAGGAGGAATTTCATGGTTTTGAGTCTGCAGATGAAATGGTTTCTACATCATCTTCTGATGTATCACAACGAGAATTTCATGAAAATGTTGCGTCAACTTACACTACTGAAAGAAGAGTTTCAACAAGAACGAACAAAAGCGTCCCACCTAAAAGATATGGGTGTAAAGTTTCCTATGCAAATGATCCTGTTTCTTACAAAGACGCTGTATCTAGATCCGACAATAAGGAGTGGGTGAAAGCCATGAATGATGAAATCAAGTCTCTACATGACAACCAAACATGGGATCTTGTGGAAATGCCTAAAGGACACAAGTTGATTGATTGTAAGTGGGTTTTTAAGGTAAAGAAAACCATTAATGACAAAGCCAAGTACAAGGCCAGATATGTAGCAAAGGGGTATTCCCAGAAGTACGGAGAAAACTATGATCAAGTGTTTGCGCCCGTGGTAAAGCAAACAACTTTGAGGACTCTATTGGCAGTGGCAAGCTATAAAAATATGAAAGTGAAACACATTGATGTTAAGACAGCTTTCCTCAATGGCGAGATAGATTCTGAAATTTATATAAGACAACCAGAAGACTTCATTGAAAATGGCAAAGAAAAGTTGGTATGCAAATTAAAAAGAAGCATCTATGGTCTAAAACAATCAGCTCGCTGTTGGAATCTGCGAATTAACAATGTTTTAGTTAATTCTGGATTCAGAAGGGGAAAAGCTGATCCGTGCCTTTACGTAAAAGAACAGAACAATTCACCTGTTTATGTCTTAATTTACGTAGACGATATAATTATTGCCAGCGAAAGTAACGAGGAAATTGAAAATGTTGTTAAAACCATAAAGCAAAATTTTGAAATAACTGAACTAGGGGATATAAAATTATATTTGGGAATTGAAGTTACACGGAACAAAGAAGGAGTTTTCTATTTATGCCAAGAAAATTATATTACTAAGATGTTGCAAGAATTCGGACTATCTGGTGCAAAAACTTCTTCAATTCCAATAGACCCGGGATATTTAAAGGACACTCAACATGGTAATGATAAATTGCTGGAAGATAATCATTTGTATAGAAAGGCAATTGGATATCTGTTATACCTAGCAAATAATACGCGTCCAGATATTTCAGCTGCGGTGTCTATATTATCTAGAAGAGTTGAAAAACCAAGTCAAAGAGATTGGACGGAAGTCAAGCGAGTGTTTAGATATTTGAAAGGAAGTCAAAATTTAAAATTGTGTGTTGGTTCTAAGTCAAATTTGGATCTAAAAGGATATGCTGATGCTGACTGGGCTGGAGATGTCAGTGACCGAAAATCTACTAGCGGTTTTGTGTTTAAACTTGGTGACGCCATCATAAGCTATGCAAGTAGAAAACAGTCGAACGTAACATTGTCTTCAACAGAAGCAGAGCTAGTAGCGTTAGCGGAAGCATCACAGGAAATGTTATGGATTTATCAATTAATTAATGATTTTGGAATCAAAATAACCAATTCAGTAATTTATGAAGATAACCAAAGTTGCCTCAAAATACTGCAGGAAGATAAAATTAATCCAAGAAGCAAACATATTGATGTAAAATATTACTTTGTTCGTGATTTGCAAAAGTCTAAAAGAATAAGCTACGAATATTGCCCAACAGATAATATGTTAGCAGATATTTTCACTAAACCGTTACAAAAAATTAAAGTTTGTAAATTTAGGAATTTAATTGGATTAACTATCTAGCTTTAAATGTATATATGTATACATGTATTTACGTTAACAACATCTGATACATTGAGAAGGGGTGTTGGTGAACAATGTATAACCATATCTTGTACTGTATATATATCTACCTTGTTTAGAAATGTAGTAGGCATTGATATGTATACATGTTTTATATGAAAAAATATATATTTTCATTCCATTCAAGAACTTAAATAAAGCCGTTTGTTTGATATAAAACCGCTGCGTGTTTCAAACTTTCCAATAATATTGACATTTCGGGGGTTATAGCATGCTTTTTCATTTAGTTATTTAAAGATGAAAGATAGTATACATTAAAATGGCCATAACTCCTTAAATATTGACATTTCGGGGTTTTTAGCATGCTTTTTCATTCAGTTTCATTTAGAACGGTAATAGCTCCCTAAATGTTGACATTTCGGGGGTTATAGCATGCTTTTTCATTTAGTTATTTAAAGATGAAAGATAGTATACTTTAAAATGGCCATAACTCCTTAAATATTGACATTTCGGGGTTTTTAGCATGCTTTTTCATTCAGTTTCATTTAGAACGGTAATAGCTCCCTAAATATTGACATTTCGGGGGTTATAGCATTCTTTTTCATTTAGTTATTTAAAGATGAAAGATAGTATACTTTAAAATGGCCATAACTCCTTAAATATTGACATTTCGGGTTTTTAGCATGCTTTTTCATTCAGTTTCATTTAGAACGGTAATAGCTCTCTAAATATTAACATTTCGGGGTTTTTAGCATGCTTTTTCATTCACTTTCATTTAGAACGGTAATAGCACCCTAAATATTGATATTTCGGGGGTTATAGCACCCTTTTTCATTTAGTTATTTAAAGATGAAAGATAGTATACTTTAAAATGGCCATAACTCCTTAAATATTGACATTTCGGGGTTTTTAGCATGCTTTTTCATTCAGTTTCATTTAGAACGGTAATAGCTCCCTAAATATTGACATTTCGGGGGTTATAGCACCCTTTTTCATTTAGTTATTTAAAGATGAAAGATAGTATACTTTAAAATGGCCATAACTCCTTAAATATTGACATTTCGGGGTTTTTCGCATGCTTTTTCATTCAGTTTATTTTATAACGGTCAGAGGCCCCTAAAAATTGACATTTCGGGGGTTATAGCATGCTTCTTCATTTTGTTATTTAAAGATGAAAGATAGTATATTTTTAAATGGCCGTAAAAAGGAGTTATGGCCTGGTTATAGATTTCTTAGAATCTCGTTAACGCTTTTGGTTCGGATACAAGAAGAGAAGACAATGATTCATCCAATACAGGACATTTCTCAAAAATTGAATTATAACGAGACATCCTCAAATAAGTATGACAGATATCTCTACCTATTCTACTAAATTCAAGACAAATAACTTGCAAAATTATGAAATTCTACACACATTTTATACACAACATCACCATCCATTTTAAATTCTAAATTTAGTGGATCAGCTATTTGCGCATCGATTCCGGCGCAAATAGAATATTTCTCGCGAGACAAATAATATTTAGGACATGATTATTTAATTTAAATTCTTTGATATAAATCAGGTAACTTCTTGACGCGGATGAAAGTCGTTGCTCGTAGAACACTCTTTATAAAAACTTGTGTTGTCTTTGTGAAGTCTTCAAATACTGTCGTTCTGTTGCAATCATTTCTGTTCACAAACCCACATGAATCAAAATCGTATTTCAATCGTTGCATAAGGTTTATTTTTATTCCACTAATCGCCTTATTTCGATGTGAAAATCTCGGATATTATTCGCCGCCAAAGTCTTGGTTAGTTAAGGAAATCAATGCTGGGCAATTGCCTAACCAATTAAACGCATTAGGAAAAGATTAGACACTTAAATCGGAATGGTAAGTGATTAGAAACCCTAATCACACAATCACAACACTTGGATATACTATAAAAGTTGAAAATTCGGTCAAGATGGTCATCAGTACAAGTGGTTGTATTGTAAGACATAAAACGAGCAAAACTTCATCGGAACAGGCAGTAGACAAAGAAGGACGTTCAAATGATTTAGTAGTTTAAGGGTGCAACCAAGGAATACGACCGATATGGAGATGTGAGTAGGCTTTTTTCGAATATATAAAATCTAAATTATTTATGTTTTATTTATTTATTTCTTTTACAATATTGTTTTAGATTTGTCGAAAAACCTTTTGGACCACGCTTTACTCCTCTGACTAATGGCTCGGTAACGGATAAGGTTTGTAAAGATTTTTAGCAGCTCATACTACTGTGTTCGTTCTGATTCTTATCTGACCTGGCTCTACTTATAAATTCAAATTCAAAAAGAAAACGACTTGTATAGTTAGAGCTCACAGCGATACGGAATTTAGTGTTTATGCTGCTCATACAACTGTATTCGCTCTAATTCTTATCTAACCTGGGTTTGCTTCTAACTCCAAATCCGACCTGTATAGCTTGGGTCCATAGTGATACAGGCGTTTGGTGAGAAGATTTATAATTCAAGCCCAATACGAATTGAGGCAGCTGCGCCATCCGGATCTTAATTGAACAAAAACTACTAAGATTTGCCGACGCATCTCTTATTCTTCAACTGCGATGGGAGGATCTCTGTTTTCCTCCTGACTTCTGTGACCGTGTCAGAGTGAAAATTATTCAGTCCTGCTTGATAGGTCTGATGACATCTCTTATATCTCTCTTTCTCTAGATCATGAAGGTATCTACTTACTTGGATGGTATAGTTGTGTATATACTATATGGTGATGAGGGTGACTTTTTTATAACACCGAAGCAAGAATTGCATCGCACTGTAGATAATCGGCAGGTGTCATGAGGAGGTTGCCCGTTGCGGGTTTAATGGCGGCGTTCTGGCAGGGCTAAATACTTTTCCATTGCGTAGCTATAACGTTGGCAATACTCATCCGAGTACATTATTATCTCTATGTTGTCTGTAGGGTGTGAAATGCACGAAACCCACTTCGGAGTGCTCCCTGGTTCACTCTACGAATATTCGACTTCCAGTTTTGAATTCCACGTATGCCTGGCGTCAACACATATAGTTGACCGAAAGGTATAACGCGGTTGACTGCATCAAAAGCTTTTGATACATCAAAGAGTCGCCATAACCTTCCGGTTCTGGTTGAGTCTAATGTGTGCGTAACGCGCCTTGGCTACGGATAACGTGTTCCACATCTGCCACAGTAAATTGTAGTGGTTCCTCCTCGGCTGGGAGAGACCGTATACGGCGTAAAATTCTATCCTTAGTCCTCTCTCTCTCTCGTGGTGTTCTATAAGCTCTCGATTAAAATCGAGCACCTCTTCGAATATGTCACTTACTTCTACGCCGTTGAATATCATTTTTTCGGGTTCCAAGAGCGTCTAAGGGCGGGTTAGGAGCCAACTAACCTATCTAACTCCAGAGTAGTTACTTGTCTCTGGGATCATAAGAGTTAGTATGGCGAAGCTCATTTGGTAATCCAGTTGGTCTTATCGCAGGTATTTGAGTAGGAGGTATATACTTCGCTTGGCTGCAGCTCTGATTATATCTCGGAAATATCAATCTGCTACCTGAACATAAGGTGGATTGGGGAGCAATCTGAAACGGTGATTGGTATATTCTCTGAACTCTTGCCAATTGACTTTCTCATGGATAAGCAAAGTGAGGAGCGAGAAGGACACGATAGATATGTCCGGTGAGCTATAACAGTCTCCCCTTATTCTGGGGAGCTATGTGCTATTGGAAGTGGAGCTATCAGCCACCGCTATGCGCATCTGATCATAACGGAATGTCATAATTCATGATAAGCTTTGTAATCTCATCCACAAAGTGAACTAATGTTGGTTTGACGACCCCCTGGTCAGAGAGTTGTTCCACCGAGTCTATCCGGTACATAGAACGGGCTTTTGCGGTATTGTCGTTACTTATACTTACGTAATTTGTCAGACCTGAGGACACGATGAATATGCCCGGTGAGCTATGGCAGATTGCCCAGTTTCTGAAGTGATGTGACCTCATTTACTGTGCAAAAAGTGGAGCTATAGATTTGCTCAGCCACCGCTATGCGCCTCTGGTCATAACTTAGTTCGGAATGCCATAATTCATGATGGGAATTGTAATCTAATCTGTAATCTGTAATACCCAAAGTGAACCAATGTTGATTTAACGGCTCCTTAGTAAGAGAGTTGTTCCAAATAGTTAATCCAGTACATAGAGCCGGCCTTCTCAGGATTGTCGTTACCTATACTAGATTTTAAGCCTGGTGTGGCGTCTCTATTAATCTGGAAATTCTTTAATAACTTTAAGTGCAAATATGTCAAATTGTTGTTTAAGCCATTTTGAGACAATGAAGAATGTTTTAATGTTATTATGTGTATAAAATAGAAATTCTAAAAATATATTTCTATATTCACCTACTAAGTTTCTTTATTATTTTTCAGGTCACACCCGACATGGCGCATCTGGTAAGCTCATATTGGAGTCAATTTCCACCTATGGATCCGATATGGAACAAAATTCTTACTGTCTATTTGATTATTATCGGTATGATGGCATGGTTTGGTAATGGTACTGTCATCTATATATTTGCTACCACAAAATCGCTGCGAACTCCGGCCAATTTGCTTGTGATCAACTTAGCCATTTCGGACTTTTGTATGATGATCTTAAATACCCCACTGATGGCAACAAATTTATATTTTGAAACCTGGGTATGGGGACCAATGATGTGTGATATTTATGCTACTTTTGGTTCGGGGTTTGGTTGCAGTTCCATATGGTCCATGTGTATGATTGCCTTGGATCGTTATAATGTCATTGTTCGGGGTATGGCTGGGCAACCGATGACAATACGTTTGGCATTATATAAAATCTTTTTCGTATGGCTAATGAGTGCCGTGTGGACATTTGCACCGATATTGGGTTGGAGTCGGTGAGTGAGGAATGTATTTATTACTCAATACTTATTTCGTTGGTTCTTCCCCCTTAAATTTTAGTTATGTTCCCGAAGGCAACTTAACATCCTGTGGCATTGATTACATGGATCATGAGTTAAATCCTGTGAGCTATTTAATAGCATACACGATTTTTGTATATGTCTTACCGTTATTTCTAATTTGCTACTCCTATTGGTATATTATTGCGGTAAGTTCTAAAGTCCTCAAGACCTATACAGCAAATGAGTAATTCCGTCCTCCTTTGCAGGCTGTTTCGGCTCACGAAAAGACCATGCGTGAACAGGCGAAAAAAATGAATGTCAAGTCGTTGCGTTCCTCGGAGGATGCCGAGAAATCTGCTGAGGCAAAATTAGCTAAAGTGGCGTTGGTTACAATATCACTTTGGTTTATGGCCTGGACCCCATATACAATTATCAATTGCATAGGTCTTTTTGGTTATGAGGGCCTAACACCTTTAAATACGGTTTGGGGTGCATGTTTTGCTAAATCGGCAGCAGTATACAATCCCATTGTTTATGCTACAAGGTACTAATTAAACTAAATCTAATAGTAATTTTAAATCAATTTTTTGCTTTCCTTTACTTTAGTCATCCGAAATATCGCCTAGCTCTGAAAGAAAAATGTCCCTGCTGCATCTTTGGAAAATTGAACGAAGATGGAGCGGCTGAAAGCGATAGTGTTTCTCAGGTGGTCGAGGGCGAAACTAGGGCATAACATTGGTCAACGAAAAACTGAGGAGAGAAAAAAATTCGATGATATTGAAATTTTGTATATAGGAACCAAACTTCTTTTGAAAACTCTGCAATGTCACTAAAGACCAAAAATCCAAAAAAAAATCAAACCTGAATAGAGAATTCAAAATAAAATGCAAATATTTGTGCAATTACTTTTTTGCCTGCGGCTTAAGATGGCTAGCAAATTACCTACACAATTTATTTTCTGTCAGATACCCACAATGTGGAATGAAATCGTCCAGTTTGTTGCATTGTAATCCAAAAGAACTTCAATTTGGTACATATAATATCGTGGAATGATCCGTCAGGAGATCGGTCACCAGGGACGCACCAAAAGGCGGTATTCTATCGGCATTATTGTTGCTGGTAGTGATTAATGACATACTCAAGGATCTGGAACAAAAGTCTTGGAATATGCTTATGATGTGGTTCTATTGTTTGCGTTTTGCTTGCAAACAATTTCAGATCTAATACATGGAGCTCTCGTTAAATTATCAAGATGGACATGCAGAAATAGGTCATGCGGAAGCTATTCTAAAAGAGAGCTCGTCCTCTTCACGAGGAGAGGACAACTCCACCACCAATACTAGATGGAGTCACGCTAAGCCTGTCCTTAGAAGCCATGTATAACGGCACTGTTTTCGACCAATGTGGAAGAGGAATTTCGAGGAACGCGCGAAGAGGGGCTTAATCACATTTTTTTTCTTGCAAGTACTCATCAAATGGATATATGAGTCAATTGTCCGTCTGATTCTGACCTGTGGAGCACTAGTTTGGTGGTACTTGTTAGGAAATTTATCCTACAAGCGAGGCATTATTAAAGTTAAAAGAACTACTTCGTTATCACAGGTGCATTTCGGAGTACACCCCAAGCTAGATACTCGACTCAACTTAAATTCCTTAAGTCTGTTTAAATCCTTTAGACTAGCTGCGATTAAAGGTAACGTGGAACGTATGGGAGGCGGATTCAAAACAACTGATGACATATCACCCAGATTGAAATTCGGGTCACTAGACATCCACATACTTGACAGGATCGTCTGGACCTCTAAACGATTTAGTTGTCTATGCCGATGGTTCAATTATGGAAAGTAGAACGGGTGCAGGAAAGCCTGAACATCGGAAACTCTTTGAAACCCAACGACAACTGTAGCGTATTCCAGGTACAAATTTTTGCTATAAAAATAGTCAGAGATCTGCTGGCAAACAGAAACAGTGAACTGAACGGTCGATGACTATATACGTCGTTAGTCAAGCAATCCTAAAAGCACTAAATTTTTGTGCCATTAAATCTAAGACAGGCTTGGAGTATAGGAATGTACTGGAGATAGTTTGGTCGTCCATCAAGCTCTGTTGGGTTCAAGATCATTGCAACATTTCTAGTAATAAAACAGAAGACGAATTGACAAGACGTGGAACTGAATCGCTAAATTTGGAGACCGACAACTCGGTGAAGCCACCATTTTGCCACTTCTTTCGTGAGATAAACATTACTCCGGGAGATTTCAACAATACTGACTAAATGAAAGAGGATGTAATGTTTCGAACATTACTCCGGAGATTTCAACAAAACTGACTAAATGAAGGGGGATGTAATGTCTCGAAGAAAATTTTGCCTACACTTTTAGGGCAGAGATCAAGCTCGCTAAACTCCATAGGGATATCTGGCTTAAAACTTGTGATGGGAATCTTCACAGGTCACAGCAATATAAGGGCCGAGTCAACTAAGTGGGGTGATGACAACACAGAATTATGGGGGAGCAAATTATGCACCTGGAACACCTATTTCCTACAAGACAAATATGCAGTTAACAGTAAGCACGCCCCCAATCACCAAATGCAATTTAAGGAACCGCTCGATTGAATCCACACGATCGAAAGCCTTCTCCAAGTCAAAGAACAGGAGGAAGCCAAAATTGGCTCGAATGGTCTCAGCCAGTCCAAGTACGAGAGATACAGAACTTTTATTTTTCCTGAAGCCACACTAAATAGCAGCTAAACATATAAAGGGAATAACAACGTTAACATTTTTAGAGAAACCCCATCCAATTTATCTGCATTGGAATATTGCGTCGATACCAACGGAAAAACTGGTGGACTGCAACACCAACAATTTTTTCCAAACAGAATAATTTTAGTTAACTTCCATGTCTCAATATAAAGAGAAGTCGTTAATATAGAGTTAGCAAATTTTTGGAATTTGGGGGAAAGTAAAGGAAACCCAGCCCTAAAAAAATCCAGGGAAACCCCTCCCTCCAGTTGCATTGGAGTTATATATCGCTACCAACGTTTCCCCATATCTGCTTTAGAAGATCCCAACTAGAGTTTTGATGCGTTTATATCTGGCATTTACTTTCTGATTTAAAATGTGATGAATGAGTATCTCGGATTTAAGTGTGGGCCCGACGGTAAAAAAAATTGTGGAAGTAAATATGATATTGCGATCATGGACTCAATTTTTAATCGTGGCCCCTTTCGGCTATTCTTATTTTTTGTACATTCTAATTGAATGTAAATCTACTTACCCATGGTTCTTAGCGACAGTATTGGGTTCCGATGTTCACAAATTTATAACTTTAAATGCAGATATGTTAAATTAAATGACTTCCTCTACAATTCACTCGGAAATTGGATATCAAAGCCAGAACTGGAAATAAAGGAAATTACTTACAAAAAACATTTATGTTGTGAGAAACAAATACAAACATTTAATAACAATTAAGGCCGTAACTATTTTAAGGTAACAATGTTAATAGAATCTGCACTATTATTTTGTAGAATTTCTTTTTTCTTTTCAAAGAATTATATTTCATTTTGTTTCTTATTTTTAAACTTAACAGGTTTTTTTTGTTTGTTTACTTTTTCATCAGCTTTAACTTCTGTCGAAGGCACAAAGTCAATGGAGATGGGGGCAGGGCAGGGAAGCGGACATGGAAGAAAAGTTATATTAAAAATATTTATATTTATAAGTTTTTTTCACAAAAAGAAAAAAATAAATAAACTTTAAAAAATAAAATTTAAAAATTAAATTACAATGTTAGGGAAGGAGGAGTATAAGGAGAAGAACAAGATATGAAAATTATTAATTAATAATAATTTAACAATTAAAACAAAAATGTATTTAATTTCAAAAAGTTATATCCTTTTTCTTTAAAAACGAAGAAGGAAAACCTTGAGTTGATTAATATGTGCGCTTTTTTTTTCTTTTGTATTTTTAAGAACATTTAAAAAAATACAAAAATCAAAAAGAGGAGTGAGGTTAGGGGTGAAAAAAAATCCTCTTCTTTTTTACAACTTATTCACTACACGAATCATATTCACTGTCACAACGTTTGCTACTGTTACGTCTTAAAGAGCTGCGTGTTGGTTTATGATTTAAGGCCACCGTATTGTTATTGTTGTTATTGCTGTTTGTTGTTGTGGTTGTTGTAGTAGTATTGTTATTTAAGTTATTCAACATATTATTATTGCTATAGGCAATATTATTATTTACATAGGATGATGAATTCGTCGATTGCCGATCTTCAGACGAATTGCCGATATTCATTGGCACAGTTTGTGCGCGAATTTGCGTTATTAGCGACCACAGGCGTACTTCAATACCCAATCTGGAAGAAATAAGCAGAAAATAAAATTAAATTAAACGTATTTTAAACTTCCCTCAGCCCTACACAAAAAGTCAGCAGAAAGTAATCACCTGGAAGTCCTAAAGTTTTCCATGAAGAGAAGACATCCTAAATGTATGAAATAGAGAAAAAACTCGTATAGGTTTTGTGTGGGGCCGAGATATTCTAAAGGTTTCTAACAGAAGGCATTCTACGAATCCTAGGAAATTTAATGATTTTCAAAAATAGAAGACCCTCTAAAAGTTTTCTATGCTTTGAGGGTCTTCTAGAGGGATAAGACTTATTGAAATGTTTCCATAAATGAAAGGCCTTTAGATCTTCCATAAATAGAAAACATTTTTGAAGGCCTTCTATAGGTAGTGAGCCTTAAAACATCTTCTGATAATAAAAGACCTTTTGAAGGTCTTCAAGAAATTGAAGACGTTCTAAACATGTTCTATAGACAGAAACCCCAAAAAAGGTCTTCTATAGATAGAGGAGTCTCAGAAGATCATCTTTTCTCGAAGTATATATATTTGTAAAAGTCCTTCAAATAATGTTTTCAAGATGACTTCTTTCTTTAGATAACCATCTGGAGATCTTCCATGTATGTAGTCCTTCAAAGCTATTCTATCTATAGAAGTCTTTCACAAAGTCATTTATTTCTAGAAGAGCTTCAAAAGGTTTATTTTTTTCAGTTTTTAATGTAGAAGAAGAGCATTAAATCATCCTCTACATTTAGACTACCCACAGGAAGGAGGTTTTTATCTACGAAAGGGTTTCCCAATGCCTTAAATACATAAAAAGTCGTTAAGGGATGTGTTATCGTTAAAACATCTTCTATAGAAGGATTTCTAAAAGCCTTCCGTCTACCTTTCGAAGAAGATATCTAGAAAGTTTTCCTCCTTTAGACGACCTTTCGGGGGTCCCCTTAGTGTGGAAGGCCTTTCGAAGATCTCAAATTTATAGAAGGCTTTCAAAAGATAGTCCATCTATGAAAGTCATTTATTTTTAGAAGGTCTTCAAAGGATTGCCTTTAATTAGAAAACCTTCAGGAAGTTTAGAAGTATCATCATTTATCTTTAAACGACCTAGAAGGAGGTCTTTCAGGTCAGGTCCTCAATATGGCTATTATTTTAAGAAGATGTTTATTTCTTCAGTACAAGGCTTTCTGGAAATCTTCCATCCATAAAAGGCCTCTCTGAACTTCCAGAAAGTTTTCTTCTGGGGGCCTTGTATATGTAGAAGGGCTTCAAAAGATGTCTATCTATGGAAATTCATTCACTTTCACAGAAGGCTTTCTGGAGACCTAGCTGGATAGAAAGCCTTCAAAAGATAGTCCATATATAAAAAATAGGTCACTTAGCGTTTTAATATGCAAACGAGCATTAAAACGGCATCTATATTTAGATGACCTTCAGCAAGCGTTTTACTATTAAAGGGTTTCTTTGCTAAAGGTATATTTTCACAAAAACACACTCTGAAAATATTTCTTCTAAAGAGGACTTTCTGAAAGTATTCCATGCATAAGACTTTTAAAGGTCATTCATACATAAAATATCTCAAGGGATATTTTTTGAAGACCTTCTTCATCTATATTAGATTCCTTTTGATCCCTTGTATATTGGAAGATCTACTATTCTCCTAATATTGCGAAAGATCATCTGGTCTCCCAGCAAGTTATTATAGACATTGGAGACAATCGTTCCTTACCTCAATTCCAAACGCATTAAATCCAATTTATCCATATTATAAATAAAATCTTCATAGGAGAAACCTTCATTGAGGATAACATTTTTGGATATTTCATCGACATCGTTGCGGGTCAACCACTCCTCCAGCTGTTCGTCGACTTCCTGTAGACCACCATTGTAAATGCTAAAGGAACGACGTGCAAATTGCCGTTTATACTGTCGATTAGGTTTTTTACTGGCCGTTGTGTTATAACGTGATCGCCTTGTCCTCTTGCGGCCCATATAGAAGTGGGCCAATTCTTTGCTTATATTCTGCAAGGCCTTAAGACTCTGTTTTTGATGCTCCAAATGCTGGTAGTGAAATTTACGATTCGATTCCTTGATGTCACGCAACAAGCGTACACATTCGGTGGACGAAAAACTGGTACTATCCTCATCCATGGCGGGCGTGGTACTTTGGGCATGTGCCGCCTCATAGGCTATCATTTTCTCCTGGCTGTCCGTCGATGTGTGCTGTTGATTGTGTACACTTTCATCATCGATCAAAGACGGATCTTTGCCCAGTAAATTGGCACCCAATTCGGGGGATAGAATCATGACACAAGCCTGTACAGCTTGTTTTACCAAATTATCCAGGGCAAACATCCAATGGGGTTTGATGGAGTGTAATCTCAGGACCGAAATGACAGCATCTTGAAATGAATACAAAGCCAAATGCAAATGATCCAAAGCTGTGGCATCATATTTAAGTTCTTCTTTTAAGCTATTTATGCAAGCCTCCAAATGTTTCTCTTTCTCGTTCATAATATACTCCCTTATGCCGTGTATGAGTTTCTGTAGTTCCGCCTTGGTTAAGGACACAATATTATTGTGTTCCTCATTTAATTTTTCAAGCCATAAATCGCATATCTTAGACTCATCCGTCGTTAAGACTTTAGAGAGGGTTGTACGACGTTGAGATTCTTTTTTGAGATGGTAGAAATCATTTGTTTCGCTTGTCTCCGAACTGGCACCGGTACGCAATGATGGCGTGGAGACCTCGATTTCGGGTGAGAGCAGGGTGCCGGAAGAGTTGCGACGTTCCATTGTCATGGTAAGCGATTGATGGCTGGGAAGATTTTCAATATCAACGGAGGTACTGTGGAAACCTCTGTAAAATAAAAAAAACAATTAATAAATGTTTGAGAGGAGAAATCTTCTCACTAGTCTTACTCAATTTCTGGTGTTGTTGGTGTATTACCAGACCTAGGCCTGCTAACCAAACGATCTGCTGGCACCGAAATACTGCGATTGAAGTCGGATGTTGATGGTGGCCCAAGTCTCAGTTTGCGATGTTTGCTAACCAAAAGAGATTAATAGATAAGAAAATAATGTATGAAATATCTTAAATCAAAACTCACTCTGTCAAGAAAGGATCCTCCAATAGCTGGGCCGCCGTGGGCCTCTCATTCTCTTGAATGGCAAAGCAACGCAGTATGAAATTCTTGGCAGCCTGTGACAGTTCATCCGGTATTGTGGGATGTTTTTTATAGAATCCCACCTTAAACATGGCCGCCTGGGCTGATCCGAGTTCTATAAATGGCCTCTTACCCGTTGCCATTTCTACATTTGTACAACCAAATGACCAGATGTCAGCTGCAGGACCATAGCCACGAAAACCCAAATCAATAACTTCGGGTGCCATATATTGTAGAGTTCCAGTAAATGTGGAGACCATTGGATTAATGCCAGCCAAACGTTTTGAGGTACCAAAGTCGGAAATTTTTACCACACCACTGTACGTATTCACCAATACATTATCACCCTTGATGTCACGATGTACAATCTTTTGCTCATGCAAATATTTGAGGCCTTCGAGGATTTGTTTTGAATAAAATGCCATAGTCGATTCATTATCCTTTAGGGGACCCCATTTCTTTTCCAACAAATCGGAGAGTGAACCACCGGGAACTTGCTCCATGAAAATTTTGAAATAACCATCTTCGGAGAGTGAGCCCAAGTACTGAAAAAAGAAGCAAGAGAGTATAGGTTAGAATAAGTTAGTATGAAATTCGGAGTCGGTGTCGGAGCCAGTGGTGAACGAAATATATTTCTATAAAGATCCAAAGGTATTCCTAAAGAACATCAGAAATTTTATGTTGTTCAAGACAAATAAAAGGTTTGAGGCAATTAGAAGGTCTTCTAACAAAGATCAAAAGGGATACAGAAGACCGATGTTTTTCGGATGCGTAAATATTGGAATATATAAGAATTTCTTCTTACAGTTAGGCGTCCTTTCGGATAGAGAAGACATTAAGGAACCTGTTATAAACGGCCGTAACAGTCTTCTTTAAGACTTCTGGAAGTTGGGCTTGCTTTGAGATGAAGAAGACGTGTAGTTTATAACAGGTTCATAAACGGTCAGAAAAGTCTTCTTTAAGACAATAAAATATTATTATATAGAGCTGAAAAGAGAAGGCCATTTTAAAAGGTCGCAAGCGGACTTACTGTAGAAGATCAGTAATGCCTTCTTGTGGAGGTCGAAGAAGACCAGCATTCTACAAAAAGTAGGCTAGAAATACCTTGCATTGGAAGATAAAAAAAAGTTCTTGTTTTAGAAACCCAGCAGACTTCTAATAGAAGACTAAGAATTTCGCAGATAGAATACTGAAGAAGTACTAAAAAATTTGTGGAGAACACATAGCTACTTTTATAGATAACTTTAAGAGAAAACATATACGATTTTCGTAGCAGACTTTCTATTGAGAAACCTAAAGGATCTTGAGATAGTAAACCTGAAAAGTTTGCCAAGTTTTTTCACAGAAAACAATAAAAAATTCTGTAGAGAGCCCGAATGTGTTTCTTATAGAAAATATCGCATCACAATTCCAACATCAAACCAAAATGTTTCCTCATGAGCATCTAACTTACCCTCACAATATTCCGATGCCTTAGCTGCGAATGCAGTTTAATCTCTTCGTGTAGTGGTTGGACTTCTTGTGAATTCTTTTCGGGCACCTCCTTTATGGCTATTCTCACTTGTGTGTGTTTATCACGGGCAGCGTATACCGTACCATATGTTCCCTTGCCCAAAATGATTTTACGATTTTGATCATCATAATCATATTCGTATTCAATTTGTGGCGTCTCTTCTTCATTTAAATTGACGAAAACATCTTGATCGGATACCATTTCCAAAATCAACTCATAAAATCGTTGACGACATTCCGTCGAGGGGAAATAAATTTGAAAATCATCTGAATTATGATGAACATACAGATAGGCACAACGATCGTCACGTTTATACAGGCTAACTGATTTGATTTGCGAGGCAGTGAACACAAAATCATGGACTTTTTTACATTCATTTTTGGCATGGGCCAGACAGATGTTGATGATTTGTATAGACTTCTCTTCGGCATCCATGTTGATGTTGACATAGCTGGGCATGTAGATTTTTTGCGGTTCCAAAATCTAAAAAAAACAAAGGAATTAATTTCTAAATCTTGCCTTAGACACCATGTGGTTACTTACCAATATGGGAAAGCGAATATTACTTATTTTACTGCTATCGGTGGCATCCAAGAAGAAATCCATCCAAAATTGAAAAATTTGCTCCTCAATATTGGGCTGATGATCATCGCCTTTTTTACGAAATCTATGTATGAGACTTATATTGCCTATTGTGGACTTTAGATACCAGCCGGGAGGTTTCAGCTTAAACATACATTCCGCCGCCTTTATGGCCTTGGCATAATCTTCAGCTAAGACGGATATTTCAAAGAATGTAGCCACATCCCAGTACTCCGTTAGCGAAGACAGGCTACCCTTTTTGCCAATCAAATTATTAAGAGTCATACCAATGTGCCGCAGTTCTTCCGTATTGGAAAACTCTTTACCATCGATAACCAAGAGGGTGGCCAAATTAATGCCGGCATATTCATTTGGTTGTACCTCGAAACTTTGGCGATACCATTTGATGGCATTCTTCAAGCTAACCGTATCCGTGTAATCCGATTCAACAAATATATCCTTGTAGATGCGTCCACACAGACACAACATGTCGGGAAATTCATTTTCTTTCTTTTCCAGTGCCTTGAGGGATGACTCTAAAGCCTTTTCACGATCACCTTTTTTATTGCGGCGATTCAGGGCAAAGGCATAGAGAAAACTCATATTACCCGTTTCCACATATTTCCGGGTATTGGGTATATTTTTTAAATCATTCACCAAACGCACCATAGCATCATAATCCTGCACATCCCTTAGAGAACACATAAAACTGTGTACCACTTCGCCGGATAGGACATGACAATCATCTAGACGTTTACGCATTTCATGCAGAATACTTTGTAATCTCTTGGTATTGGTGGCATATGTTTCACGGGCTTGCCTCAGGTCTGCCAAGAATTTCTCTCGCATGTGGGCCCTAAATGGGGGAAGGAGTACAAAAAGAGTTAGATAAGATTGTGTAGAGCAGGTTATGTGTACTTACTTCGATTGTATTTCCACATCTTGCAGCAGTCGCTTAAGCCGCGCCTGTAATGTGGGCAACTTTGTATCGGCCGGTAGTTCTTTATTGAAATTGGTTAAGTTACACACTCCACATTCCGCATTGTATTTGTACGATAAAAATGTGTAATTGGGAAACGAGAGCTGCAATGAAAAAGAAGATAAACAAAAGTTTAGTATCGATAGTAACATAAGTCCTTTCATGAGTCGAAGAATTCGTAAAACGAGTATTTTCAGACTTTATGGGTCCAGTCATATGCAGACCATGTGGAATGATGACTAAAACTTCTGAACTATTTGAGTTTCTCATTACCATTTCGTCATTCGTGACAATGAAAAACTCACATCCAGTGGCTGGTCTAGATTGTCATGTATTTATTACTTTTTTGGGAAGACCTGCACATAATTGCCCCTTTAATAATAAAAGCACAGAAGACCATGTAAGAATTTGCAATGAACAACAGAAATTATGAAGGTCTTCTATAGACAGTAGTCCTTGCTTATCAGTTGTATACAGGAGTTATCCTCAAGGTCTCGTGTAGACAGAAACATTTATGAATAGAAGACTCTTCAATCGAGAGTAAACATCAGAAAGTCTTCCAAAGGAAGATGATCAAAGAATATTAGACAAAAGACAATGGACAAAAAATCAATAAAGAAGACCTCCTGCATATATTTTTACAGACCAAAGAACGTTATTCTAATTGTTTTGTCCACGAAAAATTGTTTAGAAAAATGATTCTTAATTAACGTCTACGGTCCACCTTTAACTCTTACGGTAATTGCATTCATTTCTTATAATGAAAGGCTACCTGGAGGACTTCTGATAAAAAAGACATAAAATGCCTCTAAAAAAACTCCTTAAATTTTCTATAGAAAAAAAACTTTATGAAGTTCTTGTATAAAAAGGAAATCCACTCCCTGATTGTATAGAAATAAGAACTCCTGAGGTTCTTCCATAGCCGGAAAACCTTCATTTCAATGGGGTATCCTATAACTAAAAACATCCTGGATGTATTTTATAGACTGAACCTTCCATAGAAAGATGAGAAAGGAAAGAACTTTCGAGGATCTTCTCGTGGAAAAAGCGAACCCATAGGTCCTTCGGAGGTAGAAAAACGCCTAACCCCTTATTCCATAGAAAGAAGAGCTAATGTGGGCCTTGTATGGAAAGAAAATATCCAAAAGAATTTCTACAGAAAGAACTTTTGAGCATCTTCTTAAGGTAAAGTACATACTAAAGGTACTTTAGAGGTGCGAAAACCCCAAAGATATTCCATATTTAGAAGATATGTGAATGCAGAATTGTATATTGAGATTTTGCTAGGGACGAATAGAGATTTCCTTCGTCCCTACTTTATAGAGCTGGACTTCCTCAATCCCTCACAATGACAACATTTTTGGTATGAGTGAAAACAAGAATTTTGGGGAATCTACTAATGACAAAATAGCACCCGTATGTCCTTCAGAAACCAAATGAGGGATTTGTTTCACTGTCAAAATCGTCATACAAATGAAAAAATTACGGTGCAAATCATTGAATTTTGCTAGCTCTCTTAAGGAAGTCCATCGTGCATTCATTGTGTTCAGAGACGAAGCTCATTATTGGCTCAATGGGTACGTAAATAAGAAGAATTGCCTATTTTTGAATGAAGATCGCTCAATATTTCCAATATTAATATAAAATCTATGGTTGATGAAAATATATGATTTTTGAACACAAACGCTGACTTGGTTCGAATTTTATAAGTGTTATAAGTATTCAAAATTGTGACCTAACTTTGGGGGAGGTACCAGAAGGAGGTCTCTACACTAGATATTGTGTTGGTAGAAATATGGGGATGTGCCTAATTGGAAAAGAATTGGATGCTTATCAATGAGCTTAATGGTTGCTGCAAATGTTTACCTGATTTGGGTGAGGTACCGGAAGGAATGATCCGTTCTGATCGAAATATACGGATATCCAACATTTCAAGACAATCGGATTCATATTTCACTATTTAAGGAAGTACTACTGATTATTGAAAAAATTGAGGTAGTCCATCTCTACATTAGATGTTGTGTTGGTAGAAGAATTGGGATATGCCAAGTTTGAAAAGAATCTGATGTTCATTTTGCATTCTATAGTGATTGTGGGTATTTAACATTTTGACCCGCTGGGAGTGATATATCAGAAGGAGTGGTCCGTTCTACCCTATGTTCATAACAAATCTGATAATTTCTATCTTTTCTATTCTTTAAAACTCGAACTAATTTTGATAATTAATTTACGATGTATCAAGTTTAGATGGTATCGGATACTCCCTCCCTTCTGACCTGAATTAGATTTTGCCCAAAGAGACCTCAGTATAAATCCGTTATTTCGCAGTACCACATTTTGGCCGCATAAAATGACTTTAAGACTCTGCTCAGAAACGACCTTCTGGTGGTCTTTGGATTCCCTCTTTTCCACCTACGAATATTTAAGTTGGTTGGTTATAAAGTTTCTCCGAGAGTAAATTCTAATCGAAGACTTGATCTTTCGTCGTTTGTAAAAAATTCCCTCTGATCGTCCCTTAAGATGCATATATAACCTCTTTAAGACTCTCTTAGGATCATCTATAAAGTCTGACTATTTATCGTGCATAAATATTCTCTTTTGGGTCGTATATAAGGCTTCCTTTCCAATTCTTATAGCCCAGGGAGACTCATTTTAGTAGTCCATAATGATTCCATCTTCATCGTCCATAATATCTCTCTGCTGGACCCCTTTAAATATTCATTATTGATCACCCGCATACGTTTTTTTTTTTTTCGAATATTGCATTGTGGTCACTTGTGCTTCAATTTCAAGACTCTGACAATTCTTAATCGCAAGGTTTGAGGGTATAAAAATTCTTCATCTATCTAAAAGGAGGTTTGAAGGGTATTTCAACCTGAGTAAGATTTCCAGCAGCATTGATTTCTGTAACAGCAACAAATTTTAACAAAGAAAATTTTTAAAAAATTGTTGTGAAATCATGAAATATATTATTCCATGCCCGCCAACAACAAATAATGCATCCCGCATTGTGAGCTTACCACTTCATTTTCCTCCTCCCAGATATGGGCATTAACAAATTATAAATTTCGAAGCTTGAATAAACAAAAAAAAATCAAATAACAAAAAATGACCAATGACGTCTACAACAATACAAAATATTTCGAACCCAACAACTCAAGAATAAACACTGGATCTATCACTCCGCCCGCGAACGCAGCGCAATTGTAAACAAAACCAAATACGTAGAGCAAAACAAAACAAACCGCAATAATAAATATATAATAACAAAAAAACCGCACAAAAATAAACTAAATGTAAATAACAACAACAGAAAACTCGCACACACAAAGAGAACGAAGGAGAAGAACAAGAAGAAAACGATGAGGAGTGATAATAATAAAACCACGATATAAACAAACAAAAGCACCTCCACCACATCGAGGTGGAGGATAGGAAAAACTGAAAAACCCGTTTTGAAAGCGGTGCGGCATAGCGCCTCAGATACCGTCATATCTGACAGCGAAGTAAACAAATACGAGTAATATCGGAGGATTGGTTTACAACAGATGGAGAGAATGATGAGATAACGAAATGCATAAAAAATAAAAACATAATCAAATCACAATTTGCAACCCACATTTTTCCGATGACCGGATGATGGGATCAAAGAATAGAGACAACAAAACTTGGAACGAGGTGGCCGCACAAATTACAATAATATCAATCAAAGCAACAACAACAACAATAATTAAATCTTATGCACGAGAACGCCAACAATTTATAAACAGCCAGCAAACACGGGTCAAGATTTGGAGTCAAGAGGGTTGGCGGCAGCATGAATGCCAATATAAACAAGTTATGGTAAGCAGAGCGAGAGAGAGAGAGAGAGAAAATTTCCAGAGGGCAAGAGGAGCTTGAGCTAGGAATTTTAGATTAGTGATTATAGTTTTCGATTTATTGTTGAACAAACCGGTTCACAATTCCAAATCCAAGTAAAGGTCTTTTATAGATTTGAAGACCTGCTAATGGTCTTTTATAGACAAAGACATTCTCTTAAAAATTTTCCAAGAAGTACCTTTTAAGAGCAAGTCTTACTTCCATTTAAGGCCTGCATCTTGAAAACAAAAAGGTGGTCTTTTTGGAGCTCCTCTAACAATAGATGGCTTGAAGACCAAGACCGTTTGGAGATCTTAAACCTATTAAAGACTCAAGTCTATCCTGCACTGTTTGAAGATTATTTCATGCACATGTTGACCTAACATCATGGACATCTTTTACGCACTGAAAGTTTCCTGATGATGTTTGTAAAACGAAGACCTTGTATAAAAAGATGTTATCCTAAAATCTTTCTGTATAAGAAGCAGCCCATATAAGCATTCCATTCAAAGAAGAGCTTGTGAGGCCTTATATGGAAAGAAGATCTCCAAATAGATTTCTACAGAAAGAATATAGGGCCTTCAGAAATGGAAAACCCCTAAAGAAGGAAAATATGAGTTCTTAAGGGCCTTATATGCAAAGAAGTATCCGAAAAGGTTTTAAATAGGAAGAACTTTCGAGGATCTTCCCATGGCAAAATATATATTAAATGCGTCCTTCAGAGATGGAGAAGAACTCCTGAGGGTCCTTTATAAAGTGAAGACCTCCTGAAGGCCTTCTACAGAAATATGAGGTACTGAAATCCTTTTGTAGAAAGAAGAGCTCATATAGGCCTTCCAAAGAAAGAAGAGCTTCTGAGGCCCTATATGGAAATAAGATCTCCAAGAGGATTTCTATAGAAAGCAATGTCGAGGATCTTCTCGTGGCAAAATACATTACATCGGTTCACCAGAGTTGACAAAACACCTAACCCCTTATTCCATAGAAAAAAAGAACTTCTGAGGGCCTTATATGGAAAGAAGATCTCCAAAAGGATTTATATAGAAAGCACTGTCGAGGTTCTTCTCGTAGCAAAATACATTACATGGGTTCTTCAGAGTTAAAAAAAAAACACCTAACTCCTTATTCCATATTCCATAGATCCTTCAGAGATGGTAAATCCCCAAAGATATTCCTTAGATAAGAGATTGAATGCAGAAGTGTATATTGAGATTTTGCTAAGGACGAATATATATTTTTTCAGACCTACATTAAAGAGCTTACCTTCCTCAAGCTCAAAAAGAACTTCTGAAAATGTACCATCAACTAAATACAATATAACGAATACCCCCAAATTCTAGATATGGAAGATCTACAGGAAAGTTTTTCAAAAAAAAAAACATAAAATTAAAAAAGGCTTGATATCTTTTTTTTGAATTGAAGGCTATTTCATGCAAATGTTGAAAGCGACAGAGCCACAAATCACAAACCACAATTTTGGTATACTCTTTCCAAAATTTCGGCCACTTAAGGTTGGGGTGTTATGCAATTACGTACCCATCAGTGTTACAGGTGGTTTGCAGTCAACGTACCGTCTGAAGGAGTTTGTTAATACCTGGACGCCTCAACTAATATCAGGTTACCGAGTCTTTGCTATGGTACAGAGACTATGCCATGGTCGATCTCAGTCCCTTCAGAGAACAATGAAACCTCGAGGTGATTCCCAGTCCATTGAACTACTGATTGATGAGACTGTTAAACCACCAATAAGCTATCATGTCAGATGCTTCAAAACATCTCTCATCGAAGAATACGACACTTGGTAACTGGTGGCAAGGTATCTAAGGCCATATGGCTCTATTTTTTCACTAAGTAGGTCTACTCTAAGAATCGCGGTAGGCATACTGACTGACTGCAGGGCAGTATCAGACCTAAAGATGGGATAAGAATATTCCCGACTGCTGTAAACTATGTGAAGATGGATGGATCCAACAAGAGACAAAGGACATTTAGTAGGTGCGAGATAGAAACTCTAAAGTTCTTCTAAGACATAGATCCTATCATCTTCTACAAGTTTTCTAAAAGCAATTCCAGGCCAAGTAAACCATTCTACTGACTACACTTCTCTTTATAAACCCTTTCTTGTATTTCTCGTTTCTAAATACGTTCGCTTTCTTGACTCTGTACAAATTGTTAAGACCACAAACGTAACTAAACGACGAACAGAGATCGGCCAAGTTATTAAATTTGGACCAATACTTTAACTATAAGAGTTCTTCTAGTTTTAGAAGATATTCTGTCTACATGGGCTTGTGAAAGACTCTTGGATTATCTTCCATAACTTAAAGAACTTTGTGATGTCCTCTCAGATGGAGGACCTTTACGCATTCTTCTTTGAAACAATTTTACCACAAGTTTTAGGGAAAATATTTCGAACCGAATATTCGGTTTCTGCTTCAACTCAACTATTAATAGTTTATTTTATAACAACAAAACAATACAGAGAATAAATACCAATACCACTACAAAATGTCATTCACAACATTCAGTTTGTGAATGGCCACGATGTGTTGATGATGCTGATGAACTCTTCTAGATATGGATCGTTCGCTGTAGCGGGCCAGTGAAAGATTCAATGAATGAATGAAGAAATGCCAACACAAGACAGACAAATGGACAGACAAAGAAACGTACAGCCCAACAGACAGACAGACAAAAAGACAAATCAATGCTGGTGGGGTTATGTCTATAATTAAGTGGTTCGCTCGAACTAATGTCGCCATAAATGTAAAGACAAAGATGCTGTTGGCTGGCTAGTTGGCGGGATGGCTGTCTAGGTTTTGTTGTTACTGTTGCTCTTGGGCCATGATCGTTTTTCCTCCGCTATTAGTTGAGATGTTCGAAACTTGATAAATAGGTGATAATCGAAAGGTGTAAACCTCACATCAACACCACCAACAACAATAACAAAAAATAAGATGTAAATTTTCTATTTCAATAACAGAAACTGAGTGGGAGGTTGTTTCTTCTTGTTATTATTGTTGTTTGATGTGGGCATATACGTAATTGAATTTTTTCGAGACCCCCAGCCAGCTAGCCACAAAAAATGCATTTCTTGAGTGGTCTCACAAAAATGAAGAGGTGAATGAATGAATTTTGAATATTTATTTTGCTAATCCAAAACGGAAATAATTAATAAGTTTTTTTTTTTTTTTTTTGAAAAAATATTGATTTTGGTATTAATTTTGAGTATTTTTACGCTTCTCTCTTTGAATTTCGAAACTTACCTTTAAGCTCAGTGTTTGCTTGGAGTTAACATCATTGTAGATTAGTATGTTTTCTTTCATGTTGAACGATTCCCGTACACCGAGATGATAGGATAGGGATCTTTGATGAGATTGAATACTTAAATCGATAACAGCTACATCGGCATTGTAGAATGTCTCCAATTTCTTTGTCTCACCAAAATCCAATTTGTCGAACTGGAAAAGTAAAAAGAAGATAATTTTAATAAATTTTTTAAAAGAAAATGAGGTTTCCTTTTTTTAAAGATATGAAGGCCTTCACTACTTAAAATGTTGCATAGGCTAAACCTGCGATTAAAGGCAACACAAAAAATTGGTTTTAAGCTCAAAAAGGCAAGAAGAGAATAATGTCATAAGCGGACGATATCCGAATACCTACGGAAGCCTATCTGTAGTGGAGCTCTTAAAAGTATTCAAGCAGACATTTTGAAGTTCTTCAATGCAAAGAAGAACTTAAGACAGGCCTTAATCTATAAAACATCAGAAACCCGAAACAATTCCTTTGAGAAGATATGGAGCCCAAATAACGACAAGTGAAGGACTATTATCACATTTAAAAAAAATCAGGTACGGCTGGACTGGTGGCGAACCTCTTGAAGACGATCTGGCCATTTACACAGACATAAGATGGATAAAGGCATCGGTTCTGGCGAATTCGGTTCTAATCCAAATATTAATTAATTCAGGTACGGCTGAACTGGTGGCGAACCTCTTGAAGACGATCTGGCCAATTACACAGACATAAAATGGATAAAGGCACCGGTTCTGGCAAATTCGGTTCTAATCCAAATATTAAACAATTGCAGCGTTTTTCAAGCTGACATCCTTGAAATCTAGGAGACAGCTGGAATGATACGTAAACTCTGCAATAGTATAACAAAGTTAGTGGCTATATATGTCGATAGTCGGACCGCCTGACTAAATTCAAAGTCAAGTGTAATTAAAATGCTTCTAATACGTGAGTTCATTAGGCTTTGTTGGGTTCCAGGACATACCAACATAGAGGGGTATGAAATGGCTGATGAATTAGCTGGAGGTGGTTCCCAGTCCATTGATCTACCAATTGATGAGACTGTCAAACCAATCTTAAAGACGGCCTTTCGTCGCCGAAAAAAATACAAAGGGGATACAATCAATGGATAAATCGATTCTGCAAGAAATTTATCGTTCGAAGAAGGAAAACCCGTTATCAGGATGACCCTGAAGACAGTCGGCAAATTCAATTCGAGGCGGTCGACCTCGAACAGAAGACATTCTTCCAACAATGCTTTACTCCCAGCCGTGGCGAAGAACACACTGTCATAGAGAGTTACCGTTTGTCTTAAATTCCAACTAATGAAACCTCTGGGAAGGTTGCACCTTTTACCAAAAAATTCAGATTTTTTTTGCCACAAACCATGGTTATGCATTGGAAACCGAGCTGAGAGAGATACGATTAAAGCTAAAGTATCGAGATTATTCCGGATAAGGTATGCTCAGCCTCCTGAGCCCTGTAACCGTTACTGCATCCGGTCGGGTGTGGAGAGAAAACTTAGCTTCCGAAAACACACAGAAAGCTTCTATGAAAGCATCGTGTCCAACCAAACCAAAAACCTCAAAATTCGCCCATTATAGCAAAGGACTTAAGCAAAACCACTCCTGAGAAATATGTGAATGGGAATAGAGAAAAAATCCAAGACCGTGCGGAGCTAACATTAAAATGCCATGGTCTTCTGTGGGCAACCAAACTATTTCAAAGAGACTGCAAGTTTATCAATTAGGCTGGGAAGGGTGGTAGCGCCTGTGAGGACCGATCACGGTATTAAAAGATCACAACAAACTTAACGGACACTAAACCCAAATGACTTATCACTCCTGAGAAACAGGTGAAGAGAAGGACTGCATGTTTATCGAAAAGTCGGGGAGAAATGTAACGCCCATGAAGACCAACGGAGGTATTGAAGGACCATAACAAACTTGGAGGACAGTAGCCTTAGACGGCTTACCATTTAAGAGGCTTACATCTCAGAAAATACCACTTTTTTTACGAAAATTTATTGTAACCAAATTGCTTGGTTTGCAGCGCAACTACACGGGAGTCGGCACCTACTTCATTTGGAGACTTTTGTCTATTGTGGAATCGGAAGAATAATGTTGTTGGGGATAGGAAAGATTTAGAGCTCGGAGGCAGCTTCTATCTAAAGGTATATTTTTACCTATTTTATTTTTGGTAACACTGGTTTAAAGAGCTCACGCTCGTTTCGTGTTTTGTTTCACTTTGGTCTACCATTTAGCCATTAATCATCTTACAAATAAACAAAGTTTGCAAATAATTGAATTTTATTATCAAATGCGTGCGCTCTGTTAAGAAAGCTCATCGTGCTCTCCTTCTGCTTCAGCAAAGAGTATCATTTATTGCTCAATGGATACGTAAATAAACAGAGTTTTTGATTTTGGAGTGTAGGTCAGTCAGAAACATTACAAAAGCATCCAATGCATTTAGAACATGTCGCAGTACTGAGCGGTTTATGGGCTTGGATTATGTATAAGCTCATGTGTCTATACAGAAGATCCCACTTCAATTGAACCGATATTTACAACTGTATTCTATGGCTCTCATCTTTACTGAAAAAAAAAAGATACACAATCTCACATTAATTGAAAGTATTATTTATTGTCTGGGGAAAATCTTTTAATATTCATTCATTAATTGAAATTGACAGCAGAACAGCATACGTAATGGAATAATAGCAAAGTATTTAAGCATGTAGTTTATTTATTGCTGTATCTGATTTCAGAGCCAACAAAAAAAAAGCAAAACTGAAGTTTATAGCAAGTCCATGTCGCCGCTTAATTTTATTTAAAATTTAAAAACAACTTCGTTATGGATCACTTTCCAAACCTAAAACGGTTTCTGAACGTAAAGTGTAAATACAATGAGCAGAGAACAACAAAAACACTGGGTGGACGTGTAGTAAAATAATAAGAACACTCCCTTAACATGCAGTTCTTGGAATTAATCTAAATTGCAAAAACATGGGAAATATAAATTCTGTTTTCTGAATAAATTCAAATTGAATATTACAAAGTATATTTTTTGTCGCTCAGCTTGAAAATGGATTGTGTCGTTTTAACGATTCAATAAACAAATATTTGTGTCCACAACCAATATCATGCCACAGCGGACATGTATTCAATTCAATTCAATTTTCGTTATAAATTAAAATTGACAGTGTAATGGAATAGGTTGGTTATTTAAATATCTATTTGCCCACCAGTACATACAAATATACCATGTCGATGATTTGCAATTTAAATTGCCATTACACTTGATTTAAACAAAATAGATTTTCGATGTAAAATTTATGATTTTTGAGGTATGGGGCAAAAAACAAGATAATATTTCGTATTTTATGACCCACGGTGTGATCAAAGGATTTTAAAGACACCAATACAAAGGCATACAATTGTTTGTGAGACAATATATATGAAAACACATTATTAGCGGGGTTCTTGGTGTAATTAAAGACTTAAAAGAGATATATACCGCCACACCTCTAATCGGCGATACCCTTCCTTGTAATCGTTGGCGTCATTCTTCGCCATCGTGCAGCAAATTTGATAACTAACTCTATTTATTTTTCCAGGCTAAACTATCACCATATAAGCCTACTCATTACATCAGTAGACCTTCTACATGCATTCGGTGCAGTATCAGCTTGGATGCTGCCGAGAACTCCCTCCCAGACGGAAGATTGGTCCACAATCTAACGGTGTGAGGCAACTCACAGGATTTCCAAAGCTGATCAGTTGACTGAATCAAACTAGCTCCTATTAACTGTGGCAGTATTGACGAAGGTATGGGTGATGTGCTTGGTAATGCGTTGATTTCTCCCATTAAGACAAAAGAAGTTTTCTAAGATAAGTTCACAACAAACTAATATGCAGATAGTAAGACAGTCTTAAAATCCTGTCATAATAAACTTTCCGTAAACAGCTCATAAGAATCGCCATCAACGACAAAGGAATCTTGGTACTTACATTGGGTAGCCTATAAAAAGACACATCGAGTTTGCATCCCTTTATTTCAACAACATCCGATCTGCATCCAAGTAATGTTTAAACTACTTCTTTAGTACTAAACATTTTACTGGGAATAAGAGCGTCGCCTTGTCGGAGAGACGTGGTACCACTGTAATCCCATGTCAAACACAGCCATGTTTTTGGCTTCCACAGTCACTGGTAAAGGTTTGCCTCTAGGCAGGATGAATACAACTCCACTGTAGGTTGAAATCTCGACAAAAGCGTATGAGACACCTCACGGGTTTACCCTCCTAAGCCCTGTAGCCATTTATGCACCGGCTCGAGTGTGGATGGAAAAATTCTATTCCGTCTAACAAAACCAAAATCATCGAAATTCGCCCACTATAGCAATGAAAATGTAAAAAAACCAATGAAGTGAAGTCTGCTAAAAACTGATTTCTTTGTTGTCTGGGGAAAGAGAATTTACTCTAATCAGGATTTGACAGTAGAGTACCCGTGAAGTAAAAACCACTCCTGAGAAACAGGTGAAGAGGAGTAGAGAAAAGCCAAGCCAAGACCGTACGGGGCTAACACCAAAATGCCATGAATTTCCGTGGGAAACCAACCTATTTACAAGAGACTGCATGTTAATAGAAAAGGCGGGGAGGGGTGTAGCGCCTTTAAAGACCTATGACGATATTAAAAGATCACAACAAACGGACAGTAGCCCCAAATGGCTTACCATTTATGAGGTCAATATCTCAGGAAGCACAATTTTTTAAGGGAAATTAATTGTAACCAAATTGATACCCATTTAACCCTAGTCAAAAATAGAGGGGATTAGTGAATTTCGAAGTAGTACATTGCTATAATGGATTGGTTTGGTTTAAGAATGTGCATCTTCACGGAAATCGGCACCTACTTCACTCGGAGACTTTTGGTCTATTGTAGAATAGGAAGAATAATATTGTTAAGGATAGGAAAGATATAGAAGAGAGAACGGGTGGACTGTGTAATCAGGGAATGATCTTAGAAAACTTGTAGATGGCGGAATCTGTGTCTGAGAAAAACGTTGGAGTTTATATCTCCTACCTTCCAAATAACCTATATTTCTCGTTAGATAACATTGGACATCACCATATTAGGTGTTTATTCGTCTCAACTTCTTTTTTCATCCTTACATTGTCTACAGAAATCAGGAACACTGTTATCCCATCTTGGGGTTAAATATCTGATACTACAGTGGTAAGTCGGCTTCCAAGTGCCAACTTCTTCCTGCTTTTTCGATTAAGGAGCTGACATAATAGCCTATTGGAGGTTAAACAGTCTCATCATTCGGTATATCAATGGACTGGGAACAACCTTGAGCTAATTCATCAATAACTTTATTCTCCCCTATGTTGCTATGTCCTGGAAGCCAACAAAGCATAATGAACTCACGTATTTCAAGGATAACTTTCATAAATGGCTCGGATTCGATGACACCTGATTTAATTTTTTTAAGTGCCCTATGATTATTAGCCCCCATCAGGACAGGGAAAATACCAGAGGCGTTGTGAATCGACTCCAGCCTCCAACGTAAAGTTAGAGTTCTCCATATTTTTCTCAACGTATACGACAACTTCGTGTACACAGACCGACCTTTGACATAGGTGCGGCGATGATCTAATTAAATTTGTAACTAAATTTAAAAGAATTTCCAGGTCCAGTAACTTTTGTAAGGTAGAAAGATTAGAAAGGAAGTTTGTAATCTTTAGGAATCTACATATACTTCAAGAATTTATATGCTTCGCGGCGTCTCTGTAATTAGGGCGTAGTATAAAAACTTTAGGCGCGTCGCGGACCCTTCCTTGCCAACTGTAAAATTCACAATTCAAAAACATCACTTATACTGACTGCCTAGTAAAAGGCTTTTACAACCCAAATACCCTCGAGAACATGACTCGCAAAAAAACACTACCTAACGTTAAAATCAATAGAATAATTAAATCTTAAATCAAAAAAAAAAAAATCATTCATATTTACCAGGACACGTTGAAAATGTGCACCCACAGATTGTACAGCTTGTTTTATTTCTTCCAGGGCACATTCTCGATCTTTGAGATTATCGCCCAGTTGTGTGTCTATAACGCAGACAACACTCAACTGTTGTTGCGTTGTCCATTGTGTTGGCTGTTGCTGTAGCTGTAGTATCTGTTGTTGTTGTTGCTGCTGCTGTTGTTGTATTTGTTGTTGTATTTGCTGTTGCTGTGGCTTAGTGTTAACCACTACTGCATTGCTAGCCATAATTCTAAAATATTTATGTTTATCTTTTTATGTCTTCTTCTCCTCCTCCTTCTTCTTCAGCTAACAATCTTTGAATATATGGATGGATAGCTGTATGTATCTTTCTTTTCGCGTTTATCTTTGCCTATTATTACGTTAAGAAGTTTGATCTACGCGACCGACGACGACGAGAACACAATTTGATTTGCTATTATTATTTTTATTTTGATTATCTCGTTACTGTTACCGTTGTTGTTGTTCTTGTTTACAAAGTTATGTTGTTGCACTTTCCACTACTTTCCGTATTATTTAACGACGACGACGTTGATGTTTCTTTCTCCACAAGCCGTTTAAAAATCATTGAAATTGGAATCGTCGAATGGGATCGGATCGGGGTAACAAGACAAGAAAAAGCAAGAAATCAATTAAGAGGAGGCAAGCAGACACTTGAATTTTTTTTTGCCTTTGTTGTTGTTTGTTGAAACACTCTACACAGCACTCACTTCGCTCTCCTCTCACGACACATTTGACATTTGGTTGGTTGGTCGGTCGGTTATGGCCGATTTGATTGTGGGGGAGATGAGCTTTGCTTCTTTTTGATTTCTTATTCGCTATTCTCTGTACACCTTCACTTCTTATATTTTTCCTTTCACTTTTTCTTCAACTTTTCTCAAACACAAGATTTTCCATCACTTTTATCAAGAAAATTGCGAATTTTTCTTATATTTCTTAAAGATTTCTTGTGCCGTTTTAAAACGACCAACTTTTCTCCTATCCACTTTGACTGTTTGACTTATACTTGAATGTGGGGATATATAGGTCGACTTTTGGCTAATCGACTTTCGATAGCTTGCAATCGGCTTACAATCGATTTATGTGGGGAAATCGATAAGACCGCGTAAATATTACAATATTTATATGTAAAATGTATATTAGCTGAAAGAAACTGTAAAAATCGTATTAAAACAACACTGAATCAGTATATTTTTTACCAAACTACAATCCCAAGTTTCTCTTGAAGAAATGCCAAAAGTGGGCATGTACAATCAGTAGGTAAATTTCCATTTCATTACTTAACTATTAACGATCCTAAATGTATGCAATACTTTTTATACATTTTCATTGAATGTAAGCAGTAGCTTTGCTCCTTCGCATGCAGGAATCTACATCTTCTGCCCTATTCTCGTAGAAAACACATTACGGACCGAAAAACTATAAAATATTTTCACAAATTTAATCTGACAAATTGTCTTTAATTGTTTTTTCTTATTACTAGCTCCAGCAATTTTCAAACACGAATTATAAAGACAACAAATTAAAAATTTGTTGAATAACAATTGAAATAATATCCAAGGAAAAACACAAAGGACTTTAAAATTTCATGTTTTGAAAACGTAAGATAATTTCAGATTATCGTCTTACAAACGAATAACGCTTGCAAATCATTGTTCTTTTTTTGAATTTTATGACCCGTTTAATAGACCCACTGATGCGGCTATTAGGGCTATTATGACTAAATTTCGCAACAAATTTTCATTGTGGATATTATACAACCACGTGGAGTTTGAACTAAAGAAAATATCGCAGATCGTTTTGTCGCCATTCCCAGAAGGCATCATTGGACTTCACTTCTTCAAAGATACTGCGAATCGTAACGTAGCTGTGAGTGGTGGGCGCTACCGTGAAATGATATACAACTTTTTTTTCCCAAAATTCACTGCTTGACACGCATAACATATGGTTGTTTCATGACATATGGTACGGTGCCACATGCAACAGCACGCGTAACAATGGAGTTATTAGAAGATGGGTTCGGTGAACATTTTATTTCACGTTCGGTACAGTTCAATTGGCCGCATCGACTATTTTTATGGGGTTATGTTAAAGCTTATGCCTAAAGCAACAACACTAAAGCATTTATTCTTCAGATAATGGCCGAAATTTTGAAAAGAACATGGTTCAGTAAAAAATTAAAGTAAAGCTGTCGGCTGGTTACAATTTTTCGCTGATTGTATCCGACTTCCGTCAATTTGGTGTTGGTAATTTTCATAATCAATGACTGGAAGAAGCTTGCATTGCGGGTTATACCGCACATTTAGGATAACAAACCTATTTGGAATTTAAAAGTGAGGAAAAATGTTAATGTTAAAAACTTATTGCATACCTTCCACCACCTTATTGCACCATTGGAAACATATCAAAGTTGGACTAAGCACAATAAGCTTCAATCATGAAATTATATGGACCGTACTATAAATTGAAATGAAGATTTCAAGCATTGTCCCGAATTGTTGTTTTCTGCGTTTTGAAAAATTTTCCTGTATCTATATTTCATGTTTTATCTCCCTCAAGTTATTTCGTCAGCCTTCATGTAGAGAAGTCATTCTAATGCCATGTTTACGTTAGAACTTTTTGTAGGGTTAACCTACTTTGAGACGATTTATTTGAAGTAAAAGTAATGGATATGACAATTTAATTCCAAACCCAGTGGGTTAACCCTCATATATATAAACGTACTATAATTCTTATATCTATTCTAGTATTAAAGTGAATGTTATTTCAATGAAACTTTCTGTGTCTGCCATGAGAATAATTAAAGTGTCGAAAGTCGACCTACAAATCTCTATCATCTCGCCCACCACCAAAACTATCGATTGTTTGCAGTTGATTTTCACCACGGATGAATGTCAACATCGACTTTTTGCCTTTCGAAAGTCGATTTACATGTCCCTAGTTTGTACACCATCATAATCAGTTGAATTTCAAACACCGAGAGAACGAACTAAACGGATAGGCTATTTGAAATAAGCAGTGAACGAGACTAAACGACAACAAAAACCAAACGGTTCGATAAGAAACTAAAGAAAAATATATAGCAAAAATCATAGAAAAACAAACGAGCGAGGATGTTAAGGCGAGCGTGAATGGAAAAACGTATTAAAATAATTGAAAACAAAAAGATAAAAAATAAGTAATGCAAATAAAGTGTTTCCTAGAGTGTTTGTGAGTGCGTAAAAATCTCCTTTTATAGGACTTGGCAGAACAACAAATAAAGTGTATGTGTGTGCGCCGTCTGTGTGTGAGTTTGCAAAAAGGAAACGAAAAAAGTCTTCTTTTTCTGCTCATTATTAAAAGAGGTCAAAGGAAGAAGCAGCAGCAGTAGCAAAAGACTTGCAAATCGAAAACAAAAACAGAGCAAGGAGTAGAGTTTATTTGAAATACTCATGCACTGACAAACATACACACAGGCACACACACAATGGCAAACATTTGCTGCAACTGCAGGAAATCAAACATGCATTTCTAGGAGAGTGAGAGTGCATTTGGCAAACAAAAACAAAGTGCAACAATAACAAAGTAATAACAATAATAATAACACAAACAACAACCGTGGAGGTAACGAAAACAAAACACACAAACACATACATTCTCTTCATCATCTCTCTCAGAGCTCTGAGGGTATGGTAAACAGATGTGTTGTTAATGGGAAATGATGTGATGGAAAACTCTGTTAAGGGGAGTGGGAAATTTGTGAAAAGTGAAGTTGTTTGAAGTTATTATTGTTGTTGTTGTAGCTGGGTGCGTGGATTTTTGCGTTGTTGTTCTAGTGTGCACATGAGCGAGTGTTGTGTATTTGAAGGAAAATTGCCTGTGGTCTGTTGTGCGCTTCTTTCTAATAGACAACTCAGTGAAGAGTTTATTCTGCCAACGTTGATGGCGACGCCGACGTCGTCGTATCTATATTTGTAATATTATTCTAATAAAAAAGTGTTTTTCTAAATAAATTTAATATTATTTTATTTCCTATAAAAATATAGCAAATTAAATCAAGTGTTTTAAAAATAGACCTAAGAAATATAAAAATATTTTAACGCAAAAAAAAGTTCTTCATCATCATCTGCAACTCTAGCGGAAGCTGTAACTCATCTCATCCACCTCACATCCAAAGTAGCATCACATTGCCAAAATGGGTCTCAACGGTTGCTGTTCATGTGTGAAATTTTTGATGGTCCTTTTTAATATTTTATTTTGGGTAAGTACTCCCCCAACCCGTTCACCGTTCTCATTTGACGATTCTCCAACATTTTATCAACCTGACATTTAATCATTCATGCATCATAATTTCTTGTATACCTATCACACCATTGGCAATATGATACCCATATATTCAAGCTTAGCCGAGGGAAAAATCTCATTGGATTTCATAATGAAATCCATATTGACCCTTTTTTTGGCTCCACCAACCATTTTGCCCATTAAATGGTTCGTAGGTAGTATATGTGTGTGGGGAGTGCATGGCATATTTTTTTTGCAAAACTCCCCCACCTTAAAATCATATTTATATTACTTTTCTCTCTCCCTTGCTCTTTCTCTCACTCCAACTCTATGTGTGTCTCTCTCTCCTCATAATGGTGTGTTGTTGAAAATAGGAGCTCATCTTTTGTTGTTTTTTTCGAGGCAGAGTTGCCATTACCGTATTTTTATGTCTTTAATTGAAAATTGATCAGAAATTACAAATAATTGAACATAAATGGCAAAAATAAGAAGAAATTAAATGAATAAATAGTTAAAGGGTATTAAGAAATTCTGAATAGTGGGAATTTTTTTTCATAAAAGAGGAAAACAAGTAAATAAAAGGAATAATTTACAAGAATAATAGCGAAAATATAGTAATATAAAAATGGTATATATATATATTATATAATCTCAGACTTATATATGATATACATTTTTCCGCAACACTGTGTAGCACAAAAAATTATGACAGGAAAGATTTAACAGGTTATGAAAGTACAGCTAAAAAGAAGAACCGCTACACGTTTTGAAAGCCTAAACCTTACCTAAACGCCAGGACTATATATAAAGGGTGATTTTTAAGACCTATATGAAAATTGAAAAAAAAAAAATAGAAAATAAAACTCCGAAAAATGCATAAAATCTTTATTTGAATTCATAGTATGGTAAAAAATTATCCATCTCCAATAAGTTTAATTTTGGCATACTCTTTCCACACTTTTCGTACGACTTCTCTCTATATTTGCGCTATTTCAGAACCTGCCAGCTGCTACTTTGACAATTTTTGTCGATATCCTAAAGGGAAAATTCTTCCAGTTCTGGAACAGACCAGTTGTCTAACAATGCGTCAATTAAAGTGGATTTGTCTGTATGGACATGAGCTTTAACATAGCCCCACAACAAAATATTCTCAAGACGTTAAATCACACAAAGTAGGTGGCCAACTGACATGTACCGAACATAAATTAAAATGTTCTTCGAACTCGCCTCTCAATAAGTCCATTGCTACGCGTGCTGTGTGACATGTGACATCGTCTTGTTGAAACCACACCATTCACAGTTTGAAGAAGTAGAGTACATTGATGCCAACATCCCATAAACCGCAACAAACTATGACTTTTTCTGGACGCATTTGGAAGCTTTTGCAGTCAATTTGGCTGATCTTAAATCTAAAATCGACATTTCTTGTTATTTATGTACCCATTGGGCCAAAAAATTAGCTTCGTCGCCGAACACATTTTTTCAATTTTACAAGTGTCCATTCTCCAAAAATTCTACTTAGTTCGTTCGGATTTAATTCTTGTACCAGCCACATTTTAAAAGCTATAAACCTAAGTTCTACTGCAAATTTTTCCTCGTTGTTTAGTAATAGAGGTTCATTGGCGAACGCCAACGAGTCGATCATTTATGGCCATAATTTCTATATTTGGCCGATACAGTTGCTATATTTTCTTCATTTCTCATGTTGGTGGTTAAATCTCCAACAATGTAAATTTAGAGCAAAATTTAGTCACAGTAGTTGTGGTTAAAATGGCCGTAAAATGGAAGAAATAGAAATCAATGTCTTACAAGGTCGTTGTTCGTTGGTTATAGACCAAACTGAAGATGCTTGAAGTGAAACAAAACACAAAAGGTGTGTGAGCTGTTGAATCGGTGTTGTTACCATGAAGGTTATTCCTATCATATCACTGCGCAACTCAAAAATAATTCCAAAAGAAATTTAGCAGATTATGAAAGTAGAGCGATAAAAGGGAGATACGTGTATCGGGAATTTGAAAGCCATAATGGCAAAGTAACCTAAATATTAGGGGCAAGTCCCCTCCTCTTCTCCATTTTTTGAAATTTTCAAATTAAAATTCCTAGGAATCCATTTATTTCCGTTGTATAGAGTCTCCGTCAATGTTACAGATAACGAAATTCGAAGTTGATTTGATAGAACTCAGCTTGAAACTAAAAATTTGAAAAGAGTTTCGGGTTATTAAGGCCTTTATGTAGCGTTGACCATATTCAATGGGACCCCAATGTTTTGAGAAATACCCTTGATTTATACTGGCTGCAATTTTTGCGTTCTCTTTTCAACTTTCCTATCGCATTTATACAACGCAACTATTTTAAGCAATTTTCATTTTCATTAATGCCTTTTCTGTAATTTTTAATTATATTTTTGCATAACACTAATAGCACAAGAGCAATTGCCAAAAAATTAGCAATACGAGATAGTTGTTTCCACTTCCACTTCCATTCCCCTTACCCCCCTCTACTACAAACAAAAAATATACGCTTGAAATATAAATCAATTCTGACACGTTTCGCAAATTTTAATAAATATAAGCAGATTTTCCACAAGTTCTGTCATCCAAAAATCCTTGTTTCCTATGGGAAATATTACCGATAACACTATTTCCTATTGAATTTTCCATTTATTTCTTATCATTGTTTAGAAAAGCTTATTTACAAATAAAAATTATTGTGAGATAAGTTTCATCATTTATAAAAACTATGGCAACCCTATTTTAACAGCCTCCCCAACAAACACACACACACACACTCAGCCAACTGCATGACGTTAAAAATCTCTACCACACAATTCTCTCACTTCTCATTTAGTAAAATGACAATGTCCTCTTTTAGAGTTTTTTTTCGCTGTTTGCTCCATTTGGCGGGCGGGTGGCTCAGCAAGATTACCACATATCCATGCATAGACCGAACACACGCTGGATGAGGAACAGTAAAATCCCATTTCTTTAATTTTACAATCCCGAGAGGATAAAGCGGGAAGCAAAACAAAAAAACCCGTGTTTCATTACATTATTGTGGACCGTTTCTTGTTTTTATGTTGGCTCATTAGAGGATTAGTTTTTCGTGGAAAAAAAATGGAAGGAAAAACTATGCTCACTCAGAAAAACCAGCACACACAAAGTCATACTTATATTTTTTTAGACAAAAGGGTATATCGCTGAGAAAGTTTTGGGAACATATTTGAGTTCTGATCTAGGTTTGTGGTTCTTTATGAGCAAAAACAGGACATTTTTTAAGTTGATGTTTGTTTCTAGGGCCGATTTTTGTTTGAAAGTTATTTCCCTGAAATATATGCTCTGTCCCAAAACTGCAAGAATTTAAAACTTTTCACAGCGATAACCGATTTTTATACCCTCCACCATTCTATGGAGGGTATATTAACTTTGTCATTCCGTTTGTAACTCCTCGAAATATGCATAATAGACCCTACAAAGCATATATATTCTGGATCAGCGTAAAATGCTTAGATGATCTAGCGATTGAGATAGGAGGCTAAAATTTGGCATACATGCATACCGCATATTATCAGTATGCAGGTTAAGTTCGTAAATGGGCCAAATCGGTGCAAGTTTTCGCATAGCCCCCAAATAATGGTACATCCCAATATTAGGTATTTTCATGATTTTAGCGACATTATTTACCGGAATTATTTCGAATTTCGTATTTGAAGTTCGTAATGGGTACTACAGCTTATGACAAAAATGTTTATATACAGGTCCACGTCTTCGTATAGCCCCCATATAACGGTACCTCCCGATAGTCCGTATTTTGACGATTTCATCAACACTTTTCACCGGAATCATTTAAAATTTGGTATTTGAAGTTCGTAATGGGTACTACAGCCTATGACGAAAATTTTTGTATGCAGGTCCAATTCTTAGTATAACCCCCATATAACGGTACCTCCCGACACTCACTTTTTCTTGATTTTTGCGAAATTATTCACCGTAATTGTATCAAATTTCGTATTTGGAGTTCGTAATGGGCACTACAGCCTATGACAAAAAATTTCGTATGCAGGTCCACATCTTCGTATAGTCCCCATATAACGGTTTTCATTTAAGTGGTAGTTTTGTTGGAGGATATTAAAGTTTGGCCCGGCCAAATTTAGCTGCTTTTTAAATTGTTCTTTAATGATAGTGAAACAAGTTTGGAACACTTCTTCAGGGCTATTTATTTAAAATATGCTCTGTTCCAGAACCTGCAAAAACCTACGAGTTTTTTGATATCATAAAGGAAAAATCGTGTATGGTAGCAAAAACTTTTACAATCTTGCCGTACTGGAACAGAGCCATAATGTCGACGTATTACACCAAGTTCAAATCTTTCAACTGGCCTCAGGAATCAGTTTTTTCTTCCTTTTTGGAAAAATCGCAATGCATGATAATTGGTTTGTTCCAGATCTGAAAGGATGTAACCGATTTAACCTTTATGATATCGAAAAAAGTTTAAAAAATGGTAGATTTTTGCAGGTTCTCTCCTTTTTCTTTTCCCATTTAATTCATGTTATTCTCATTTCAGGGTGCGCTGGCATAGTTTCGAAAATTTCAAATATGAAAAAAATGAAATTTAATTAATTCCTAGTATTATTCTCCTCAATAAAGCTACTCCCGCTGACCACTAGTCCACACCTTTTATCTATGGCTGCCTGCCGCCACAGGGCACACTGTGTAATTAATTAAATTCCATAATACGCCAAAGCCGTTCATTACTTGTAATATTTTTATATTTCTGTTTTTCGATGAACTCATCCTCAGCGTTCCCGCCCACCTCTCCTCTCCCCTCCCAACAATCCCCAAATCTATTCATCCATTTTTGCTCATTTACAAAACATAACCTATCCCATAAAAGCTAAAAAACAAGACTAGGCAAAAACGACACAGTAGATATTAAATAATTGCTTGTCCTATTTTCGAGAATTTGCTCCCGATTTTATGT